AGACTCCAGCTCCTTATGGGAGTTTGCCGAGATGGTCGGCTCAGCCGTTCAGCGGATCCTCAGTGGAGCCTGCTTAATGGTTACACCCGTTTTGACTCTTCTCCTGTCCCTGTCTCATTTCCCTATGCTGTCACCAGACGGTGACATAAATAGAACACAAAGTGGAAGGTAGATTCATACCCAGATTGTGCCAATGATTACAATATGATAAATGGTCCAATTAAAAACCAGATCTACAGACTATATTAAAAACAGCATCATGTGTGACTTAGAAGAGGCACAAGCACACGGAAAGCTTCCAAGAAAACACACAGAACCAAATGGACCAGCCAACATTTAGAAAAGAGAGTAGTGTGTGTCCGTTAATAGAAAAGCAGACACAGGCAGAAGGCATTCCTAGAGCCCCACATTTCACGTGTGGCCAAAAAGCAGCTCATTTCCCACAGGGCAGAATGTTCTAATGTGAATGGAACTAGTAATTTATATCTGAGAGCGGCCCACTTGTCTTCTATGCTTCTCAGAGGGTTATCTCACCAAAGTGCACACCCGAGTCTTTCGCCACCCTGTTTTCAGCCTGAAATCGAATGACATTCTGCATCGGCACTTTGCTAAACACGCCTCTGTAAGGTGTCGAAAGGCCAGGATGTCACTGAGCACTGAGGCGTGCCTGAGCCAAGCCACGGTACCTTCACTCATCTCAGATGTGTGGTGTAAGTCGGACACTGAGATCGGAAGACAGAGGAAGAATGGGCATTTTCAGAAATTCTGGAAGTCCTACGTACTGCCCTAAGAAGAAACATCTGTTTGGGAAGAAGTACAGCCACAATGCTCCCGAGAAGCCAGAATGGAGAGACTCTGGGCACGTCATCAGCAGAGACAGCATGGCCTGGAGAAGGACGTCGTGCTCGGTCAAGTAGAGGGGCAGCGAAAGAGAGGCCCTCGGTGAGCTGGATGCACACAGTGGCTGCAACAATGGGTTCTGGCACAGGGCGGCTGTGAGAGTGGCGCAGGACTGGGCGGTGTGTCATCTACTGTTCTGAAGATTGCCACGAGTCCCTAACAGAGACGATGACTTAGAAATCCACACCATAAAAGTAACGTGTCAGGCAAACATCAGCAGAACAAAGGGAGACATGGACAAAATCAAATTAACATCACCCGGGGGATTTTCACACAATTTTTCTTAAGTGGAAAGATCAGAGTATAGAATATTAAAAAATAACAGTATGGAATACTTTTAAAAACACATACTCTGCAAAACTCAAGCTCCCCCCAGTTTCCAGTGCACGTGGAACAGTTAGTTACCTAAGTGCTGAGCCCTCACACCTTTCAGAGAACCGGAACTGTAGTGTCTGTCCTTTGCCCAGAGAGGTCTACCACTCAAAGTCACTATCAACGAAGTATCAAGAACACAGTGGCCATTAAGTAATATAGTCCCATGGAATCTATAAACTAAGAAGAGATCAAGGTGAAAATTAGAACATTGATCATACCAAA